TATATATTGGACGGTAGAATGCTTTACAATGCACAGGCTCTGACCCCTGCTTCTTTCAAAGCCAAGATAGGAGAGTCAAGTGTAACTAGCATTACCTTTACAGTAAAGAAAAATATCTTTACTGCAGCAAGTAAAAAAAAAAACTTTTGTGCATACTGCAACAATTTTAGCATGGAAGTGTGCAGGGAAGTATTTGGAATTTTTGCAAATCAATTTTGCTACCCAACATGAACTCCATATCCATTTTTTTTATGCAATAAGTGAACTAGAAATCCATTCTTCTACCCACCGAAAACAGCAAATTCAGCCCACCATAAAGGTGTGAGTCATTCATGTTCTTTTGCAAATCCATTCAGCAACCCTAAACTACAATTGCAGCCCATCGAAAAGAATTACAACGTAAACATTTAATTGAAAAACCATGGAACAGTAATGCATTACAAACAACGTCGCAGTAATGCATTACAAACGAGAAAGCCCAAATATATAATACGATTTGAACCAACAAAATCGGGTAGAGATGAAGAGAATGTCCCGAATTGTATCATGTAATAAAGATACTCCTTTTCCAAATCCAAATTGTAGCATTCAATAGAGATGCAACAAAATCGTATACAACCTTTTCTGAAGAAAATAAACATTAGTAAATGGGAGTTCTGTGAGACAGAATAAACATTAGAGATGCAACATAAACATATACATCCATAACCTATACATCCTTTATCGGTTATGGTGTGCACACCTGATATAACACTTGTAATAAGGGTTAAGCAAGAAAAAAATGGGAGTTCTGTGAGACAGATGTCAAATCAAGAAAAAACCTTAAGAAAAAGGTGAAAAAGATGGTGTTAACTACCAAACAATCACTCGATAGAACCATGACATTTTGCAAAACTCAGAGATCCAAAACAATAGAAGCAGAGATATGGAGAAGAACCGAAAAAAATTCATCGATCCAAAAAACTCATGAATCTAGAGCATATCTCGACAGATCCAAAGCGTATCCTAAAAAAACCAACGACAAACAATAGTAGATCTTACCAGAGAGAGAAAAAGAACGAGAAATCGAGCCCTAATGATGCTTTCAATCGGAGAGGGAGGAAGCGAGGGGAGGAAGCGAGGGCAAAAGAAGGAATTCGAGCCCTAACGCCAACAGCCAACGCCGAACGCAGCCGAGGCCCCGCGATCCGGCTAATGAAGAAAAAGGGATCCGAGGGACGATGCGTTCAAAACGCCGCCGAACGAACGCGCGAAACAAACGCGTAGGCGGCGTTCTGAAAACGCCACGGCACATGTATAAGCTGTGTCAAACAGGGCCTTAATCTCAACTGAAAACATCATTCTTGATTTAAAAGTATATGGATTTGATAAATAAGGCTTTACCGGATTTACTAAATCCTATTAAAGGTAAATGCAGAGTGCAGCCAAACACCCGCTAAAGGTTATGTTCTATTAAATATCTCATCAGGGTGGGCCAAAATGTCAATGACAAGGACAAGCAGACAAACTTTATTATTACTTCAGACAATATTTTCCGAAGAAAATCTTTCTTACCGATAACGTTACCAAGCTTGAAAAGTAAGTGGTGCAGATAAAGCAGACTGAGAAACGTATCAGTCTCTCGCTAGGTTCCTAGATTGGCGGATCGAGAGAGATGAACACCCTCAAAGCCATTCAATACGGCTTCCCTCTTACGAAGCCGACGCATATTCAACGAGACAAAGCCAACAGTAGGCGCCGATCAACCATCTGCTTCTCTACTTCTGATGGCTCCGAGTCCAGCACTTCCTTCCCGGATGGAGACAAGAGAAAGCAAGAGTTGCTTGCACAGATTGCGATGCTCCAGGCACAGAAAGTTCGCCTCACAGACTTTCTTGATAAGCGCTCATCTAATCTGACACAGTTTGCAGAAGTTGCTGATGCTGAGTTTGATGCCATCGGAGAGAACGCGCTCAAAGAGCTTGATGATGCCGGCACCAGGGTATGTCGCTAACTTAGATTTCCCTGCACCAATGCATAGGAGAACCCTAGCTAAGTTAATTAGTTTTGCAAATGTTTCTCGCTTTTGATGAAACAGATAATGGAGAAATTGGAAAGTCGGATGCAGGCTTTTGAAGAAACTGCAGAGTTAAATAGACAGGAGATGGAGAGTAATGAGAAAGTTTTGGAGGAGTTTCAGGAACAGATTGTTCGGGACAAAAATGAAGGCCTCTTCTTTAAAAACTTGGGGCAGAAAACATCTCGCAAGGAAGCTGAGGCAATGGAGGACGCACAGAAGCTTAGGCAGCAAGCAAAGGAGACAGCAAGCACAAGAACAAGGAGAAATGTTTACCTTGCATTAATGTTATTGCTGATTCTAGCAGTTGGTAATGCTGTTTTTGCTGGCCCAGAGGTCGACTGGCGGAAAGTTGGAGCATTGCTGTTGATACTGTTTGGTTTGCTTGCCCAGTTCATCTATGAGCAGAGTTTGTCAACTGAAACAGATGAAACAAAGAAGGAAAAATGAAATAGTATAAGATACAGAATCAAAATATGGATGTGTGCGTCTGTGTGTGCTGTGCATAGAATAATACTGCTAGCTGTATTTTTACTCGTATTGGCTACACTTGAAGATTTAAATATAAATGCAGCATGGTAAAACCGTGTGTCCGTGCATTCTCAGTCCTTGATGTTTTTTCTTTTCATTTAATTTTCCATCGAAAAAAAAATTCTCCTGTACCTTCAGATATAGAATGGTCAATCTGCTGTGCGTTTCCAACCTTCTTATAAACGTCGCAGCAAGCATGGGACACAATCAAATAATTAGAATCCAAAACCCATGAAAGTGGCAGATACTTAAAAGGCCCAAAAGAAGATTTTTTTTTTTAAACCTTGACAGGAAACATCGATGAACCTTAATTTAGACAACTCCACAGCTCACTACTGCTCTAACTAGTATGTTCCAAGTAATGCAAGTTGGTACAATACCACAGTAAACGGCTTCATCCAAAAACTTAAGTGCTTCCATGGTCTGATTATGCAAACAAAGACCTTTAAACACTATATTGTAAGATATGATATCTGGCTGCAATCCAGCTTCAAATATCTCATTCCACAAATCAATTGCCTTTTTGCTGTTACCAGCTTCATAAAGCCCATCCATTATAGTGTTTAATGTCACAAGATTTGGAGAGCAGTTCTTATGTTTCATCTCGGAACAAATATGTAAGGCTTCTTCCACCTTTCCTACGTTGCATAGGCCGTGAATGAGAACGTTGTGCAGGACAACATCAGCTTCAAATCCCAAAGAAAGAACTTGGCTCCAAATTTCAAGCGCAAGGTCCATCTTTTTATCCCGGCAGAGACCATCTATTAATGCACTGTAAGTTATCATGTCAGGCTTGAATCCTTTCTCCACCATTTCCTTGGCAAAACTCGAAGCTTCTTGGAACCTTTCCACCTTACAAAATCCAGCTATCAGTGTGTTGTATGTGACCACAGTGGGGGAGCAACCAATGCTGTTCATCTCATTGAAGATCCGAATAGCATGTTTCATCTGAGATGCTTGGCAGAAGCCATTAATCAGCGCATTATAAATATAAGAATTAGGACTACAGCCTTGTATAACCATCCGATCAAAAATACTAACTGCTTCATCTAATCTAGCATCCTTGCATAAGCCATTAATCATCGAGGAATATGCAAAAACATTTAATTTGTTCTCGCCCTTCTCTTCTGCCTCATTCAGAGCCTGCAGAGCCTTGCCAATATATCCACTTTGACATAAGCCATGAATTACAATGCCATAAGTTACTTGATCTGGCTGAAATTCACGGCTTAATTTCAAATGGTCCCAAACCAAAATTGCTTTTTGCACCTCACCGTTCTCAAACATGGCTTTGATAAAAATGTTATAGCTCACAAAATCAATATTCTTTGCTCTTAACATCGAAGCCCACAGGCTTAAAGATTCATCAATCCTGCCAGCTTTGCAGAAACCATTTAGAAGAGAATTGGAGGTAACCACATCAAGATGAAACCCAGTTTTGATCATTTCCGCATAAACCTGTGAAGCTCCGTCCACATTCCCCATCTCGCACATCCCATGGATCAAAATAGCGTAAGTGAAGGAATCCAGCCGGTGGCCATTGCTCACCATTCGATTCAACATGACCGTAACCTCATCAAACTTGCGGAGCTTGCACAAGCCATTCAACATAGCATTGTAAGTGGCTACATTGGGGGTAACCAAGCTATCCCTCAGCAGCTTCTCCCACATCTCCATCCCTTTCACAAAATCTCCATTCTTCAAAAACCCATCAATCAGAACATTGTAGCAAACCACGTCAGGCTCCACCTTCTTGTCACGCATTTCATCGAACAGACTGAGTGCACCATCCAAGTTCCCAGTTTGGAGCAAACCAGACATCAATGTGCTGTAAGTAACCCGATTGGGCTCTAGCCCGGTATCTGAACGGATAGTTTCCCTAAGCCGCAGAGCTCTATCAATCTGCCCACGAGCGCAAAGGCCTCTAAGGAGGACATTGTAGGTCTCAATGTTAGGGGAGACACGGGCTTGGTGATAGAAAAAATGGAAAAAAGTCTCGACTTTGTCCCAGTTTTGAGAACGGACGAAGGCGTCGAGGAGAGCGTTGTGAGAGCGGACGCCTGGGCGGCAGCCGAAGATGAAGGAGAGAGATTTGAAGGCGCGGAGGGCCTCTTCGGGCATTTGAGCGCGGGAGAAGGCTTTGAGGGCTACGAGGGCGGCGTCTTCGGAGAAGCGGTGGCGACGCGGAAGGGATGAAAAAAGGCGGAGGAGACGAGGTAGGAGAGTTGGGCTGGTGGATGAAACGCGGCGAAGGAGGAGGAAAAGGAGGGAAGGTGGCGGTGAGTAAGTAGGGTGCGACGAAGATAGAGTTTCGAGGTGAGATAGGGCGTTGGTGGGATTCTTTTCGCCGGATATGAGGTTGAGCAGAGGTTGGATGCGTGGGAGTTCGCCGCTCATCTCATTAGCGGACCAAGGAGGCGGTCGAGAGGACTACGGCCGGTTTTACATTTTAGTTGGGACAGATATATGCGATTCGTACAATTCTCTGTAGTTGTTAATCGGGAGTTGTTTAGATTTTTTTTATTCCAATTCTGGACATGTAAGCTTTATGTAAGATGTGATGTGGAGCGTACTATTTTTATTATACTTATTGTACCACTTTTATGTTCTTTTTTTTTATATATTTTATTTATTTGTGTTGTATACAAGCAAAAAATATATAGCATTCGTAAGAAATTGAGCTGGACTCACGCCCAGCGTGCGCCCAGCGTCCAGCGTCCGATGAATAGCGTCACCACGCATCAAATGAGGCGCTTTAGCGCTCAAAGCAGAAAATTTTGAGCTAAAAAACTGAAAGCATGACGCTGCCGATACAACAGATGCAAAGCCAGCATTGTCACGCCTAATGCTGCTCTAAATTGAAGATTCAAAATTGCAAAAGATGGTGCTTAAACTCACTGTTTTTGTGCCCAACGTCAACTCCTTGATAATACCTCATTAACACCCCGATGATGCCTCATTAGTGACCTGACACTGCTCTCCGACACATGGTGGTTATGCAATTCATATGACATTTTGGAAGACTAGGGGGATAAAATCACGTAAATTCTTGTGGAAGAGCAGAATTTTGGAGGCCTGGAGACGACTTAGAGTGGGTGTGAGTGTGAGATCAAATTGTATTGAGAAGGATTAAAGGGAAGAAGAGCATTGTAGAAGAATAGTTGGCTTGGAGCAATAATAGTGTCAAGCTTGTTTCTTTTTTGCTTTACTTTTATGAACCATGTATTTCTATCAATGATTTATCTCCTGTTTTCTTTACAAATCCTTAGGAATTAAATTTTTCATGCTCCTTTAATTGGAAGTGTGGAATTCATATTTAGTCAATGAGAAATTCTTAGGGTAATTCTATGATATATTGGTGTATTAATCTTTAATGCTTAATTTACTTTTTTGGTGGCCACTAGAAATGTTAAAATCACATGTGATCTTTGACTGTGAGAATATCTAGTTGGGTAACTTATCATTTCTTGGTAGAATAAGAATACTATTATTATTAGAATATTACAATCACATAGAAAAATGAAAAATCTTGGGAGGGGTTATGAAGATATAACAATAACATGAGACTTAATATTTTTTATGTCTCAGAAGAGAGTAAAGTGTAATTGTTTTTGGTTATCAATATTAAGTGGGAGAATTAAATTAATGAACACAAAATTTGCACATACCACTCTGGTAAAAAAAATTACTTTTCACTCATAATTTAGGACTTATAAAAAGTCTTTCAAAATAAACAAATTTTTTTAAAATTAGTAAACTAGTAATTAAACTTCTTTGAAAGATAACTCATTTCTCTTGGGATGAATAACATTGACTTATAATTTTGCATACCACTTGATCAACATGTATACTTACCTGATAATATGTGCATCATCTCATTATGAATTTTTTTTTTGTGTTCTTATCAAGAAATGACATTAATTTTCAAATTAAATAATACTACTTGATAATTTGAAATTTAGCTTTAAAATTGTAGAGTTTTTTTTGTTTTTTTAATATTTTAATTGGTTTCATAATTTATTTGTTTATTGTGTTTTGTTTATTTATACTGGTTGTAAAGTATTTTAAGAAAAAATCAAAATTAATAAAAGTATGTTATTTTCTTTGTATGAGAATTGTATTACATTTTGCTTTCTGTTGTGTTGTATTTTATTAATTGTTAATTTAGGGACATTAGTTAATCTTTTGTTAATTGCATAGGACTTAATCCATTAAGCTAGTGGTGTATGACCCTTAAATAGATAAAAAATGCTAAAAAGTAGATAATCTCAAAAAGACATTAGTAAAAATGGTGAATCATATGAAGAAAACATTCATCTTAGACCAAATAAGATTTTCTTAAACCCTGTGGTAGATGAGATTCATCGTGACATTAGTAATCCTTCCATATAAGCCAATATGTTTTAATTGAAACATGCTATGATTCAAATGTCTGAAAATAATTAATTTGAAGATTCACCTAAAAATACCCCAATTTACACATAAACACCATTTTAAATTCATATGCGACCATTAGCTTTAATGGTGTTTTAGATATTGTTGTTAGACTTAGGTTGTTTACTTATTCACTTAAATATAAAACCAATATATGACTTAATTCATTAACACTTGCTTTCACAACTTGGAAATAAACTTACATAAAAATTTCAAACTAAATACTTCCCTGCATCCAAAACTGTTAAACTCGGGAATTACATCAATTTTTTTCTCCCAAATGGATGATGAGTACATGGAAAACTGAGAGAGATTTAAGGGTCTACCTAAGAAATGTTTACATCATGTCATATGTGATTGGTTGATTATATAACTTGTTTACAATTATTTGATGCAATCATTTAGGTCTATAATGGATGCAGCAGTAGGGGTTTTTAAATATCAAAATAATTTAAGGAGACATGAGCACTTTTAAAGGAAATAACTACTACTACTTTTTAATGGTCTACTGAGAAAGTCAGCCCTATAAAAGTAACAAACGTTTGTGAACATGATATTATATTAATTTTGGCTACACGAGTAGGTGCATTATCTTAAAATTTTAGTTAACATAGAATTTAATTTAATACAATGATCACTAATAGCTAATGATAACAATTATGGACAATCAGTAGATCCTAATGTTATATATACGGAGTTGATGAATGAAAATTCAAATATACCAAACAAATCTTAGTCAAATTCCTACAATCCTTAATGGAAAATTAACCAAACAGAAATGTAGGGAATCATTAATGGAGTAACAACCAACAAAACTTCTTAAACAACTGAAATAATTAGAAAAATAATTTGTAAATTCTATGTCAGCTTACTCTTACGTATTCACTTTCAATTGACCATTTAAAGAACATAAATTATCATTAAAATAATTTGTGTTATAAATGAAAAACTAGTTGCAAAGTCAAGTTGTTGTCATAATAAATATTAAGGCGGTTAGCAATTTCATTAAGTAGTTGACTCCAAGGGATGTTACTAAGTAACACTAAAGTGAATCCAAAGAAAAGAAATAAGAGTGCAATACAAAACCATATGATTAAGGAGTTGTGAGGAGTTGGAGTTCGATAGAATTAGTATCAAACCTTCACTAGATTTATAAAAAGAACCATACCTGCTGGTAAAGAGCTTAGGAGAACGCCACAACATTTTTCTCAAAGCCTTCAAAAATAGAAGTTGGACCAAATGTTCTTCAGAATTCTAAAGGTGTTAAAAAAACTAACTATTAATATATCATTTCATAGAAGGTTTAGAATAAATGTCTGACTGTGCTACTTTACAAAAAATATTTTTAATAAGAAACTAGAAAAGGTGATTATGAGATTGTTGCTTTTACTGAAGAATGTAGTGTTATCATTGAGAATAAATTTCAAAAAAAAACTTAATGATCTCTGTATTTTGTTATTTATTACAATATAAGGGATAGTTTTATTATAAAGGCTTTATGTGACTTATGCTAGCATTAATCTTATGCTTCTTTTCAACTTTATGAGATTAGACCCAATACACGTTCAACATGCCACTATAGCCCTTCAATTAACATGTTTATCTTTCAGTTATCCAAAGAAGGTTATAAAAGATGTTATTGTCAAGGTAGATAAATTTATATTCTCTAATTTTATTATTTTAAACATGGAGGAAGTTAAATAAATAACTATCATGTTAGATAGATCGTTTTTAGTCATTAGAAGAACAATAATAGATATTTAGAAAGTTCTCTAGAAGTAGGTTTTAATGTTTTCAAATTAATGACATTTTTACAAGTCTTTAGAAATGATAAATTTATTAATGACATTGTTAGAAGCTATTTTAATGAAATTTTGGAAGTGAACCAAATAAAATAAGACTTAATTAAGGATAATTATGAAAATCTTAAGAAAGAATAAGATCTAGTATTCCTTAGTGCAATTAGGGGTATGTTTGATTCTATAGAAATCTCAACTTATTATAATTAGTATATTCTATAATTGAGGCACCTAGGTTAGAACTCAAGCTTTTGCCTAAATATTTGCAATATCGATCGACTACACTGCTTTGATCACCTACTTCGGTTCGATTGGCCGCCCCAGCACGATAGACCGATCACTTTGGGTTTGATCGGTCATCCCAGGACGATCACCCGGCCTTTTGGTTTTGATGGGCCACTCAGATTTGATCACCCGATCACTTTGGCTTTGATTAACTACACTAGTTCGATTACTTACTTTGGTTCAATCATCCACCCCAACATGATCAACCAATCACTTTGGGTGCAATCAGTCATCTTGGCCCAATTACCTTTCTTTTGGGCTTGATCAAACGCCACATGTCGATCACCCGCTTTGAGTGCAATCGGTTGTCCTGGGCCGATTGCCCTTTCTTTTGGGTCCAGTCGACCGCCTAATGTTAATCGCATGCTTTTAGTTTGATCGGTCATCTCAGGTCGATTACTCATTCTTTTGGGTTCGATCGGCCTCTCCAAGCTGAGTACTCACTCTTTTGGGTCTGACTAATCATCCCAGATCGGTCGACCCACCCTCTTTGGGTTGGGTCGTCCTACCACTACAAACTAGTTAAACGATCACTTAAATGCTTGTATGCTTTCTTGTTTGTTGCATGTTTTCTTTGCATTGCGTATGAAAATCTTTTTAACTTGACGTTTACGATTTATTTCATTGCATGAGAAATATATTTGCCTTATATGCTTTGCATGTGACATGTCATTGATGTCTCCATGAGCATACATTTTTGGGTTATCTCTCTGAGCACCCCACATTGTGGAGTCTCTTTGCGCACCCACGCTTGTGACCATCTTTTCTACATACGTCGTCGTATGCACAGAGAACAAACACTTGCACATGTTGTGAGGAGATGACTCACATGTATTTCCACATGCCTAATTCCCCATGGCACTACCCATAGTGTTAGAAGGCATTTCACATCGTGTTGAATAAGAGTCATGCTTCACAACCACTAAAATAGTGCAAAATATAATGTGTGTCTACCTAAGGATGTGATTCTCACCTATATGAATTATATGACTTAGTATGTTTGTCACTTAATATTTTTGTATGCTTTCCATTTGTATTTCATATGCTTAACATTGTCGCATTTCTGTATGCCTATCATTTGTCTTATTGTATATCTTACTTGTTTGCATATGTGCTCGATGGTGCCTCTTAAATGAGGTGTAAATCTTATTCATGAGTATCATGTTATTCAATGCAAACTCAGTCGTAACGGTTTATGCTTGTCACATGGCACTCTGCCGGCATCTGTAATTCTTTTCCATAAGTAGTTTGTTTTACCGGTACACCCTATTTGTATGTGTCATATTGCTTGTGACGTCCTTACATCCATGCATGATGTGTGCTTCGTTCTTTTAGATGCCCATTGTGATTGCTTTGTGATTCGGTCAAACAATCACTATGTGGGCATTTTACATATTTGTATGTGTGCTCATTTGCTTCAATAATTTATCTTATTTGTTAGGAAAGTGAACCTTTTGTTGGTTGTGATACTCAAACAAGTATTGCTTGCGAGAATATCTCGACGATTAATGCGATTTTTTGTATCACGAACAACAAACATCATGATTGTGCTGAGGATTTAATGATTTTAAAGCATGTAACTTTATTGTTAAGGATTTGTCATTAGCGGTTTGTTTTTTTAAAATAGAAAATAAATATTTTTGTTATTATAAGTACCAACCACCTATTTTAAAATTACATATATGTTAGGCCACATGTGAGACCGTTTCTTTTAAAAATGTCACATATCTTCTTGTGACGTTCTTTAGGACGGGATTGGGATTGGTGTAGTGACCACGTCAAAGTCGTACGGCTTCCAGAGACTTTATCCTTACACTTAGATTTTTTGTTAGATGGTGTGTTGGGCTAGGACTATGATGCTAAGTAATATTTTTGACTAGTTTAGCTATAGTTCTCAGTTGGCTTGCTTGTTCAAGCCAAGTGTCACTTTTGTGTTTTTAGTGTGCTTTTGGTGCCAATTTTTTATATGCATGGTAGTATATTAGGTCGGCCTTCTTCAGGGAGCCATGCATATATATGCACTCACAAAATTACAATAAAAAGGGGGAGCATGTGGTGATTTACATATTAACCTTTGCTTGCAGGTATTGCTTCGCGCCCCCACCAAACATGACTTAGACACATTGCATGTAGATAACTTTTTTCACTAACATATTTTAGTGTAGCTTGAGTCTTTATTTTACCTTCCTGTTGTACTTTTTAGAGTCCTTAGGAGAGACTTGTAGCCGAAATAAGATACATGCACAAGTTTCAAGGTATTTTGGAGGGGGAACCACGTGACGGGGGGTCAGGAGTAGATGCTTGTGGCTTATAACTTAATTTTGCATTTAATATTGATGTATAGATTTAGTACCAGTCATGTATATGCGGATTCTGACAGTCATTTTTTATGGGATATATTGCCGACGTTGTTTTTTTTTTATTTTAATTTGGCTTGTTTTGCTCTTTGTTATTGCATGTTTGAAACCTTGAAAACACTTTTATTATTTCATTTTGTGGTTTGTTTGGGAATCACGAACACAATGAAAGCTCTTTGAGATTTATAATTATAAATTTACTATAAAATCCTAATAAAATATTCAAGTTGATGAAAATTTTATGATTAAAATATTGAGGAATTTAAAATTTGCACTTTTACTTTCCTACATGAACTTTGAGCCAGTTTTAAAATGATTTGCATAGCATGCCTAAATCCCAAGTCATCTCATATAAGTTCTCCACAATTAGGATTAAATAATTGTATCTATTGTATGTTCCGAGGAGAAATCTTCGTGCTTCTTCAACACGACCGACCAAGCATAAGTTTTTTATACTTAGCTGGTTACTTAGCAGATGTTAGAGGCTTCCCCAACCCAAAGGGAGAGTGAGTCTTATGTAGAGAGTGATTATAACTTTGTAGCTGAACCTCTTCTTTCCTTTCTTTCCTAAGGCAACTCCATTTATATAATGAGTGTGAGTCCCACCTCATGGAGCTTCACCTGATAGACATATGATAGAGTTTTGGTCCTTTGACCATAGAGCTATAGAAATCTCCGTAGATGATGTAATTCACTGATTGCTGACCGGGGATCTTTTGATATGTTGGGTCGACTAGCTTCATGATCAGCTTGACTTCGGGTTCTAACAGCTTGAGATGATGGGTTCATGGAACCCTAACCCCGGCTACCTCTAGCTTTTAGGATTACTCTTCCATTCCTCTTGCTGAGGCCCTTTGAATCCTATCGCTCCTTTGACTTCGTTGATATCATCTTAACGACCCAATTATTGATAAGTTGCTACCCGTTTGGGATACAATTATTCACCCTTTGCCTTTATGCCCCGGTGAGCTCTGACGTATAGTGATATCCTGGTTTACATGATTTTCAATATTTCATAGGTTACGATGTCGACGAGCTGCTGCCCAAGTAAGATGTGAAAAAATAACCCTCTGCCTTGTGGATTAACGAGACCTTTGATGTATCAGAGCGTTCTCATAAGAAATAAAGTTTCTTCGATGACCTATTTTTCAGGTCCATGAAAATATAAGCGAAACTCATGTTATCGAGAGTATTCTTAGGCATCCCCGGTATCCCCGGTATCCCCTATGATGTAATTAACTAGAGGGATACGTGCCTCGATAAACTCCTGACCCCATAACAAAAAAGTTCTTTTTAGCTTTTTTGGTTACGGGTGACTTATGAGGGATTCTTTTCGTGAATGTTGTGTTTTGATGTACTTCTATCTGATCTTGTTTAGACGTATTGAGCCATGTCATTCCTTTGACCTATCACACAAGGATTACCCATATACAAGTCTTTAGCTTGTTTCTTTTTATTTGCTTGTCTATTTGTTGTAATATAACCTTCTTTTTAATTCATCTTCTCTTAGAATCAGTGAGATTTATTCAAATAAGAGACTTCTACGATGACATATAAATAAATAAGCTAGCGACTCCAAGTCTTAAAAAAGAACCAAAAAAATAGTATTTAACATCCAAATCATCATATTCAACTGCAAATATTTTTTTCCCACAATAAAATACCACTCTCATAATCTCATTTCAAAACAACCTCCATTGTTTCCATCTTTAATCTACGTATAAATAGTACAACCTCACAAGTGAGTTGTGAGGATTAAAAGGGGCTAACAATAAGGAAGCACACAAATGAGCAGGGGAATATGTGGTTGTTGAAGAGGAGGATGACATTATGAGATACGAGGAAGACAAAGGTGGATAATATATAGGAAGAAGCTTAGTAGATTTGCACTACAGAGTGAAGAATAACAAGAGTGAAAGTTCTCTTCAAATTGATAATAAAATTGTTGAAGCTAATTGATATAATAATTTATTATCATCTTTCACAAAAGAAAATAACATGGCTCAACTAAAAATTAAAATGAATAATTTTGATAAACTTAAAAATTTATAATAATATGTAAGTAATTAGTAATTATATTGCGTTAAATTAAATAAATAATGTTGATTCTATTATTGTGTATATATAAATACCATAAAAATATAGAAAAAAGCATACCAAAACAATGATTTTTTTTCCAAATTTATTCCTACACAAGCAATTATTTATTTGTATTTTTATCATATATAATATAATAAAATAATAGGATAATCATCCATGCGGTGGGAAAACATTATTAGTATGGGTAATTATCCTAGAATTGTAATCATGTAAGGTTTAGGTTAGGGTTTCCATTAGATCCACTTGTATTCCGACTTCCCGCGGCTAATTTCTCCATGTCCGTCGCTCCCTGTCGCGATTGATTCCTGTTCCTTTGACTAGCGTCTTCGAGTTCGTCTGACATTCCCCTCTGCACCGATTATCCGCGCGCGCGCGAACCAGCCAAAGTCAATACCCCTTCATCCGTCAAACCCAAGCCCGCTCGTCTCCATTGCCTTCTCCCTCCACCGACTTCTCTCATGCCGGAGCTCTCTCACTACGGCGACGGCCGCATACTGGATTCACTCATGCTGCCTTATGTATCCGTTGCCTCGGCCGAGGCGGAACTCCGAAGCCTCTTCCATCAACTTTCTTCGCACGGTGGGCTCGTTTCTGAGCTCTTGTTAGGGTCCGAACCCAACCGACCCGACCACTCCGAGCTCTTTTCCTCCTGGGTCCAGCGGCTACATGCCCAAGTTACAGCCGATGGTGAAAAGAGAGAAGACAGAGAGGAGCGTCTGGATGCTCCCGGTCGATGGCTTAATTTCTGCCCGGATCTGAGGCGTAGGATCAAAAAGCTCGTCAGCATAGTAGTTGGAGCCAGAAGCTCCGGTTCGGAGAAGCCCGATAACTTTTTTTTGAAGCAGAGAAGCGATTCCATGCGGAATGTACTGCTTAAGCTGAGGAACGTGGCTGCAGATCCTTGCGATAAAGTGGGACCAAATCAGGAGTTTAAGGATCAGATCCTTCGTGCACGGAAGGTCCTATTTCTGAGGGCGGAGGAGATTTCCATTTCCGACATGGAAGAGTTTCCTTATCGTTCGGTAATTTCTGTTAGTGAAAATCTTTCGTGCCGCCATAAATTTGGAATATGTTTAGTGATGGCCGCTGGATTGCATTGCCTGTCAGATAATCAGCTTATGATTCATAGCATGTTAGTCAAACATTTGTGTCCTGCACAGTTAATAAGTCCATGTTAATTGTTAATTAATGATCATTATTAACTCGACGTACTTTTGGCTCATGCGTGGTTCCCCCATATTGCTAATTTTGGTTATATTTGATTTTTTTTTCGATATCACATATCATGGCACGTCATGCCATTTTCATCAATTTACCATTGCTAAACTTTCATATGAGTGTTTGGTATTTGCTTTTCTTATCCTAAACTGCATATTTATTTATACTCTTACCTCTCATTTACTTCAAAAAGAAATTTCTTATTGAAATTTATCATGTATCTATTTTATGAAGAATCCAAAAATCAATTAGTTGATATAAAAAAATCACGTGTCTATTGCTAATAAATCCATGTAATTCTCCAGCCTTTTGTTTTGGCTGCAAAATGAAGTTTGTCGGTAGATATAATTGTAACCATGGTTAAGTGGTCCTTTGAAAATTTTATTATTTATAGACGTTTTTTGCTAATGTCATAATCCATGTTAGCTGCTAGTTTTGCATAATTGCCATCTTTTTTTATGAATACTAATTTGAAATGGCTCATGCAATATATGCAACATATTAATGAAGTTCTGTGGAGATTTGGATAAAATAGAGAAAGCGATGCAAATCTTCAAGCATCCATAAGTTTTTGAAATTTCATTGAATAAAAATCAAAATACTTTTCATCACTAATTGAATTACATATTTTTAGAAACTGTTATGATAATAGGATTTATTCCAAATGTGAAAATTAAATAAATAATTAGTTCTAAATTACAAATGACTCATTATGATCACTGTGGTCAAACACTTGAAAACATAACTCCAAATGCTTCCATTACTAATCGAACTACATTTCCTTAAACTTCATATCCTTAGATTCTATTTATAATAATAAGACTCATTCAAATGACAAAATTAAAATCATAATTAATTCTAAATTATAAATGACACATTAGCTACCACTAGCTTTATGATAACTATGGATAGACGCCATGAAAATAATGTGCATTTTATATACATCATGACATAAATTTAGTCAATGAACTGTAATTGACAATTAAGATTTAGCATCTTTTGTGCCATTTTGGACATGAGTTCATTATCCATTACAAGCTTAAATTTTTATATTCAATAGGAAAGTGTACATTTGGTGTTCGTAATCTTTCATTGTAGAATGAGGTTGATATCGTATGAAAAGAGAAACTTTAACATACGGAACACTATGCCAGTAATATTTGAATGCAATTAAGCTTTGATTAGCTCATAAGAAGGACAAATTTATATGGCAATTAGACTATTTTCTCGTATGATCTGAGAGCTGGACAAAATTGCAATTACTAACTATGTAGTTGGTGATTGAGATGCTGGAAAATATTTTACTAGAGATTGTATAAAGAAAGCTAAATTTAGGTAATTCGAACATGCACTATAAAGGGTGAAATTCGAACATGCACTATAAAGGGTGAAAATGTACTCATAAGATGTGTTGCAAGTCAAAAACCAATAACTATATATATATATATATATATATATATATTAATTAAAACCCATTTTACC